GAGGGTATTATTTAGTCATATGATGTATTCTTTTCGTGGCTGTCTCGAGTGCACATTTTTGGTTCTGTTTCGAGACGGATGAAATCGATTGCTGGAACTGTCATTAAATTATTCATTCCACTCCGTTACGACACAGTGGTAGTTCAGTGGGTCAAAACAAGATGGACATCGCTGATTAGAGGTGTAGCAATCAACCTGGTATGTGGGCCTGCATGCTACACATGGGTAGCATTGACGCCACAGCAACCATCCGTCCGCCAAACTATGACGATGGTGTTGACGTCGCATATTGAAATCGCAAGGCATGAGATTTGTTTTTCTTTTTCTTTAGGAGGATAAGCTCCCTCTCTCTAGACAGCAAATCACATCTCTCCCGGCATCTGGATAATCCAAGGGAACATCATGCGTGGATGATACAGCATGGCACCAATAGCGTCCCATCAGTTGACGGAAATTTTATTGTGTCCACGTCATGCCGTCTTCGGGACGCCATCTCCGGGTTTAATTTCAAAGTTTTTTTTTACACCCTTAAGATGAATTGCCACCCATGGATAACGAGTCCCATCCACAGTATTGTTTCAGCTTGTCTTGGCTTGACCTGGGGTTTGGGCTCCAGTCCACAAGGATGACTCAGTTTAGAGAAATCAGTTTCCGGTGATGGACGAGCTGACGTAAAATGGGGCCCGCATACGGGGGAATCTTTTTCCACTGTCAATAGCTTGGTTACGATAGGTTAAGGTCAGTTATTGTGGCGTGACGAGGTCTGTTTTTATGCTGTGACAAGGTCAGTTCTTGTTGCGTAAAAAGGGGGAGTTCTTGTGATGGGATGAGGTCAGTTCTAGTGGTGGGATGAGGTCAGTTCTTGTGGTGTGACGAGGTCAGTTCTTGTGGTGGGATGAGGTCAGTTCTTGTGGTGGGATGAGTTCAGTTCTTGTGGTGGGATGAGTTCAGTTCTTGTGGTGGGATGAGGTCAGTTCTTGTGGTGGGGTGAGGTCAGTTCTTGTGGTGGGATGAGCTCAGTTCTTGTTGGGGGATGAGCTCAGTTGTTGTGGTGGGATGGGGTCAGTTCTAGTTCTTGTGGCGTGATTAGGTCAGTTCTTGTGGTGGGATGAGGTCAGTTCTTGTGGTGGGATGAGTTCAGTTCTTGTGGCGTGACGAGGTCAGCTCTTGTGGTGTGACAAGTTCAGTTCTTGTGGTGGGATGAGGTCAGTTCTAGTAATGGTATGAAGTAAGTTCTTGTGGTGGGATGAGTTCAGTTCTGGTGGCGTGATGAGGTCAGTTCTTGTGGTGGGATGAGGTCAGTTCTAGTGGTGGGATAAGGTCAGTTCTTGTGGCGTGACGAGGTCAGTTCTTGTGGTGGGAAGAGTTCAGTTCTTGTGGTGGGATGAGTTCAGTTCTTTTGGTGGGATGAGTTCAGTTCTTGTGGTGGGATGAGTTCAGTTCTTGTGGTGGGATGAGTTTAGTTCTTGTGGTGGGATGAGTTTAGTTCTTGTGGTGGGATGAGGTCAGTTCTTTTGGTGGGATCAGGTCAGTTCTTGTGGTGTGATGAGGTCAGTTCTTGTGGTGGGATGAGGTCAGTTCTAGTGGTGGGATGAGTTTAGTTCTTGTGGTGGGATGAGGTCAGTTCTTGTGGTGTGATGAGGTCAGTTCTTGTGGCGTGACGAGGTCAGTTCCTGTGGTGGGAAGAGGTCAGTTCTAGTAATGGGATGAGGTCAGTTCTTGTGGTGGGATGAGTTCAGTTCTGGTGGCGTGATGAGGTCAGCTCTTGTGGTGTGACGAGGTCAGTTCTTGTTTGGGGATGAGCTCAGTTCCTGTGGTGGGATGAGGTCAGTTCTAGTTCTTGTGGCGTGATGAGTTCAGTTCTTGTGGTGGGATGAGTTCAGTTCTTGTGGTGGGATGAGTTTAGTTCTAGTGGTGGGATGAGGTCAGTTCTTGTGGTGGGATGAGGTCAGTTCTTGCGGTGGGATGAGGTCAGTTCTTGTGGTGGGATGAGGTCAGTTCTTGTGGTGGGGTGAGGTCAGTTCTTGTGGTGGGATGAGGTCAGTTCTAGTTCTTGTGGCGTGATGAGTTCAGTTCTTGTGGTGGGATGAGTTCAGTTCTTGTGGTGGGATGAGTTTAGTTCTTGTGGTGGGATGAGGTCAGTTCTTGTGGTGGGATGAGGTCAGTTCTTGTGGTGGGATGAGGTCAGTTCTTGTGGTGGGATGAGGTCAGTTCTTGTGGTGGGATGAGGTCAGTTCTTGTGGTGGGATGAGGTCAGTTCTTGCTGTGGGATGAGGTCAGTTCTTGTGGTGGGATGAGGTCAGTTCTTGTGGTGGGATGAGGTCAGTTCTTGTTTGGGGATGAGGTCAGTTCTTGTGGTGGGATGAGGTCAGTTCTAGTTCTTGTGGCGTGATGAGGTCAGTTCTTGTGGTGGGATGAGGTCAGTTCTTGTGGTGGGATGAGGTCAGTTCTTGTGGTGGGATTAGATCAGTTCTTGTGGTGGGATGAGTTTAGTTCTTGTGGTGGGATGAGGTCAGTTCTTGTGGTGGGATGAGGTCAGTTCTTGCTGTGGGATGAGGTCAGTTCTTGTGGTGGGATGAGGTCAGTTCTTGTGGTGGGATGAGGTCAGTTCTTGTGGTGGGATGAGGTCAGTTCTTGCTGTGGGATGAGCTCAGTTCTTGTGGTGGGATGAGGTCAGTTCTAGTTCTTGTGGCGTGATGAGGTCAGTTCTTGTGGTGGGATGAGATCAGTTCTTGTTATGAGATGAGGTCAGTTCTTGTGGTGTATACCAATTGAGGGAATGATGTTCGCATAATTACAGGAAAAATAAGCAATATGAATTTTGTGATTTCATTCCAAACAAACTTCATGGTCCACAAAAGTCCAGCAAGTACCAGTAGCCTTAGTACTGGAAGAGACTGAATTTTTATGCAGGCAGTTAAAGCTAACCTCATCCAGCCTAATAAAGGTTAGTTAAGCTATTATGACATCTTTACGCAAGGACAAATTCAACTAGAGAACTATTCCGTTGTCCTTACACAACAACATAGCATGGTTTATGGTATCACTACTCCATATTCCTTACACAACAACATAGCATGGTTTATGGTATCACTACTCCATTTTCCTTACACAACAACATAACATGGTTTATGGTATCACTACTCCATTTTCCTTACACAACAACATAACATGGTTATGGCATCACTACTCCATTTTCCTTACACAAAAACATAACATGGTTATGGTATCATACTCCATTTTCCTTACACAACAACATAACATGGTTTATGGTATCACTACTCCATTTTCCTTACACAAAAACATAACATGGTTTATGGTATCACTACTCCATATTCCTTACACAAAAACATAACATGGTTATGGTATCATACTCCATTTTCCTTACACAACAACATAACATGGTTATGGTATCATACTCCATTTTCCTTACACAACAACATAACATGGTTATGGCATCACTATTTCACATTCCTTTCACAATAACATACCATTATTATGTCATCACTACTTAGTTGTCCTTTCACAATAACATAGCATGATTATTTAATTATTATGTCATTACTTTCATTGCATCTAAAACAATATACTACGCATATTTTGAAACCAATGAGTCACATTTAATAGTAGGACAAACACATTTATCATACAAAAATCTATCTCACACATATATGTACAAACATCATCATTTGATTTACTTCTCTTTGACAGGAATAAAAGCAGACAATCTCTAAATGGAAAGTTTTCAATATGACACATCGTTTCCATGGTCACCTCCTAGTAGTCAAAGCACACATTGTTTCCATGGTAACCTCATAGCGCACATTGTTTCCTTGGGAACCTCATAGCAACAACATGAAAACAAGATGTCTTCAGAGTTATTATTTATACTATAGCTTTCAGTTATATTTCATTTCTAAGTTGATGTCATTTGATAAAAAAACTCTTTTATGTGTTTTCAACCAGAAATGTAATTTTATTTGTTCTTATCTTTACAATAAACTTGATTGTTCTTGTCTTTATAATGAACTTGATTGATTTTTCTTGTCTTTATGATAAACTTGAGTGTTCTTGTCTTTATAACGAATGTGAGTGTTCTTGTCTTTATAATTGATTTAATTGTTCTTGTCTTTATAATGAACTTGATTTTTCTTGGATAAAAATGTCTTAACTTAAAAGTAAGACAACTTTTATAATATCTATATATCTGAAAGGATTGTGCAAGCAAATGAATTTAACTAAAAACTTACAATAATTTAAGGCATTTATAAACATAAATGCTCCTACAAATTGTGTATCAATAAGTTCAACTGGCCTTCTTAAGCCTATATCTTTATTGCACATAAATCAGTATAAAAAAACAACAAAACTATCTCAATCAATTAAAGGCGGGTAACTCTCAGAGAACAAAATGAGAAACTTAACCTAAACAATTTTGAATTGTCACAACCCTATGATATAATTTAAACTAACAAAATTTCTCAAACATGCACTGCTTCTACTGTTGTACTCAGATAACAACATTCAATTAACTTTCACACTAATCAAGTAGATGATATTTAAATGCTTTTATAGCACTTGTGTCCATGCTATTCTAGCATGCTCACAGCGCTTTGATGTCATAAATCTTACTTAAAGATCCATGGTGCTGGCAGTGGTAGCCATTTAATCTCCATTCAATTCTAATGCCAGTAAAGCGTTGTAAAAATTTGTCTCTTGGCTTCTTGTTCTGGTCATTGAGCTACATTGACTTTATTCAGATCTTCGAAAAGACATGTTTTATTTTTTAATTTTAATTCATCTGTAGTTTATTGCATAGGTAATGTCAACTGAAGAAGACATCTAGCCCAAACGTTCGCGTAATTGTCTTGTCTTCTATTTTCAAGCCTTAACATATATCGTCCCACTGTTTATTTATCAGTTTGTCCCAGGGCCTGAGAAAACAATCTTCTTTCAAAGACACAACAACACAAAAAATGTCACAAAGATCAAAGCCGTTTCTGGATATGAGATTTAATAAAGGCATTTCATGGCAACAGTGATTACGATTAAAATCAAGAATTTGGACAATCCTTTAAAAAATGTGTATTTGTATGAAACATGTGAAAAAAATTGTATGTTAAACTGAATTCCCTACCATTAATACATAAGGTACTGTAGGAAAAGGGTCTCTCATGAACACACAGTAGCCTAAAATGTACCCCACAAAGTAGCCTAAAATGTACCCCACAAAGTAGCCTAAAATGTACCACGCACAGCCCTGATTAAGATGGGAAACAGAAACAAATAAAAAGTACTTCTGGAATTAACTATTGAGTTCTCACACAAAATAAACTGTCACATTAAAACCAAAGTAAATCTATAAATAATTCAAGAGAAGTTGAAAACTAAAAGCACTTGATTTTTTTAATATGTTAATTTTAAATAAGATTATGTAGCATATGGCAGAGTTTGTTTGAAAATTTTATCCTGGAGCTAATCAGCTTGTAGCTGATGTGGGGGATTTCATGGCCTGAGATCAAGTAAAATATATACAATACCATGTTACGGAACAAAAGTTACCCTCAACCATTTTAGTGACTAATGGGGAAAGTGGCGGGATTGAATAGGGAATGTGTCAAAGAAATCAATTTGTGTACCGTTTTTTTTATTTTCACTGCGCTGCAGCACACACCAAAACCAACATGTCATCCTCCCGCTTGAAACGCTGGAGCTAACCATGTTTTAACTGTTCAGACGAGTTTGGTAAAAGATTTTGTTTTAGTTCTAGAGTGGAGACGTTAAAAATTACATTGATAAAATACAAGCGCATATTTTTTTTTTTTTTAAAAAGGGGGAAAATAAAAATCACAAAAACATTGAAAATTTTCTACAATTCTATGAATATACAATAATTGAATTAAGTTAGTAAAATAATACTTTAATAAAAGTAAAAGATTTTGTTTTAGTTCTAGAGTGGAGACGTTAAAAATTACATTGATAAAATACAAGCGCATATTTTTTTTTTTTTTAAAAAGGGGGAAAATAAAAATCACAAAAACATTGAAAAGTTTCTACAATTCTATGAATATACAATAATTGAATTAAGTTAGTAAAATAATACTTTAATAAAACACTGCAAAGGTAGACATGTCTTGAAATATAGTTTGCAAAAAATTCCTTAGGTAATACAAATATTTGTTAATATTATAAATATCCACAAAGATGATAGTTGAAGAAAAATGAAAATTGTCAATCTTTATTATATAAATACTATAAGGATTCTATACTCTCTAATGATCTAATAGATGTTTAGGATACTTTACAAAAAAAGTTATCTTGATTTATTGATATGATGTTTATCACTGAGTTCATGGTCACAGTTGAAACAGATCACACAGTTTAGGAAGCCGCTGTATGCTATGAAATGGAACAAGTCATTTTTATTGACCCGACTGCCTGGGATAGGCATCTGAAAATGGGTCCAGCTTGAGAATCTTGCACTAGGTAAGACCACCCATGTACAGCACAGATCAAACTCGGTCCAATACTAAAGCCAATTAAAAAAATGTTAGCACCTGCACTTGTTTATATTGATTGTTAAACTGATGGAAGCCTAGGATCCTTTAAGTGTTATTCTTGTTATTACATAATTATATTTTAAACGATGCATCAACTACAAACAAATTTCATTCTATGATTTGTTGGCTTCTAATAAAAAAAACCTTTCAACACTAATCCCAGACATTACTATTTCAAACATAATTTAGTCAGTTAGCACTGGCATTACTCTCAAGCATCACAAATTATACACACAATTTTATTTGAGAACATTAAATTGATTTGTACAAACCACTTGAGATATTTGAATGGAAACAAACACAAATTGATGTCAGTTTGTTTGTCTGATGACAGATGCCCAGCACCTAAACTGCAGTGATAACACAAAAGCCATTTTCCTTGTGAAACACTGTGATGTTGTTAACATTACCCCATACTGTGAAACACTGTGATGTTGGTCACATGACCCCATATTTAGTGAAAGTCCTCCTCGTTAGCATCAATCTGCAATGATTTATAATCAGTTAGCTAAGCATCTATCTTTATATATGTGACAACATGGAAAGTCAGACTTTAAAAGCCAACAGTTGATCTTCAATCTGCAATGATTTATAATCAGTTAGCTAAGCATCTATCTTTATATATGTGACAACATGGAAAGTCAGACTTTAAAAGCCAACAGTTGATCTACCAGATTAAACTTGCATGTCACAGACATGAGGGCTGGAAAGAGAAGTGTAAATGGTTGACATGTTGGTTGGTCCCGTGACATTGGCCTTAATTAAGCAGAGTTAAATTTTGAGTACAGATGTTGAACCCCTATAAGCTTATCAGATTGTGATAAACCTATTAATGGTAATGGGAAAATATTGGATGAAATCAAATCTTTGAAACACCTTAGTTGGGCTAATTTGGGGTCAAACTTTTGTTGAGCTTTATTGGTGAAAAAATTGTTTGTGTTAAACTGCTGGTATGAAGGCAAAAAAAATTATTTCATAGGCCAGGAAAGCCAGCACCCGGTATGAAGGCAAATAAAATTATATTAACATTTTAAAGAAGCACATGCCCCACTTCCTTCCATTGCATAAATTAAATGCTTACATCTGCATTCATTGGATGATGCTTTCAAGGCATCAGCTTACTTTGATACACAAAAATAAAAAAAAAGGAGATGAAAACAACAATTACAGAATTACTTTTTTTTTTTGAAAATGGGTTTCAATGTTCAAAGGTCTTTTCTTTATTTAGCCCATGAACTGTCAAGAACTGTCACGAACTGTCCATTGTATGTTTCTGTACTGTGCAGGAAATTTAGAGCTTTTTGTGTGCCTTTGAAAAATGTGATATTTCACATGCAAATACTATAGCTGGGCACCATAAAGTATATATTTATTCAAATTAGACTGAGTGGTGAATCACTCTGGCTATTTTTTAATGATCTTTTATACTTGCTGACCGTAACCTTGGAGTAGTCAAGAATAAAGAAAATAATGAAAATTTTTCTTTTCAAGTACCTCAAACTACATTTTTTTAAAGGCATATTATTATAATGTTTATATAATATGATAGCATTTTTATTTATCTTTCAGAAATTTATGATTTATATATGTTTTATTTATTAATAGATTAAAAAAAAAAATTCTTCTGATACCTATAATTACGTTTAAGTAACTAAGCACGACATAAATAATTTAAAAATTACTAAATAGCAAGAAACATAAAATTTAAAAAGCTGCTATATAAATATTTAATCCATAAAATGAAATAAAAGTAAACATCTATAGAACAACATCCAACACCCAAGCCTACTTGTTCTATGCCTAGTTTCTAAATGGTCCGAACTTTTGGGAATATTTAATCCATAAAATGAAATAAAAGTAAACATCTATAGAACAACATCCAACACCCAAGCCTACTTGTTCTATGCCTAGTTTCTAAATGGTCCGAACTTTTGGGAATATTTAATCCATAAAATGAAATAAAAGTAAACATCTATAGAACAACATCCAACACCCAAGCCTACTTGTTCTATGCCTAGTTTCTAAATGGTCCGAACTTTTGGGAATCAGAATTATCATTGTCTTCCTGTGTCTTTGGAAAATCATCTTCTGAATCACTTAAGTCATTAACTACAAAGTTATCAAAATGATTCCCAACTGATTTATTTTCTAAGCCAGATGGTCCAGCTTTGGCCTCATCCACTTCGCGAAAATCTACTGACAAAATTTGCTTGATAAAGATTATTGAAAAATAACTCCACGTTTAAAAAAAGGTCACAGAAGAGCGAAAAAACAGAAGTTTATTTATTAATAAAAGGAAATAGTTTTATTTGGTGTAAAATATTGGACTGGAACTTATTCTTTCAATGCAATTTTTATCGGCTGATTTTATCTGCCCACAAAGTTTGGGAAAAGAAAATTGGCCGATGAAATCGGCCGACGACAGTTCGTGGGTTAACAATAGAAACTTTTTATGAAAAAAGTTATAAAGCTTACAATGTTGTTTCCAAAAAAACCCGAGCACAGGTCAAAGTTTTTTAATCCTGAGTCTATCACATCAACAGCTTTTATTTGATACAAAGATTCAGAAAATAAAGGATAATACATGAAGGACTGCGTTCAAGCTGTGTGAAGGAAATAGTACAATAGGGTATGTGGAAGCTTGAATAGAAAGACAGGACAACAAGATAATAACATTTTAGCTAAGAGGTTTTCTCAGCAGACAACTTAAAAGTTTTCCGTAGCATGAGTTTATATTAATTAATGACACATACAGGATATTAACGTATGAGGTGAATGATGTATGCCATACTTACGTGTCTATGTTTGACGTATGACAAGAAAGAATTCCATATCAATGTTGCTGTGCTAACATAAACAACACGGTATTTGCCAGGAACAAACCTGAAATTAACATATTGTGCACCTGGCCAAAACATCCAGTCCACCTAAATAACAAGATGACATCAATGAGATCAAAGTGTGATAAGACAATATCCTAAAAAATAAGATAAAATCAAAGTATGAAAACATAATATTAACATCCCAAAAAAATAAGTCAAATACAATTATTTTGAGAATAAAATAGTAAAATAATATTTTTTCTGAAATAATTTATTTTTAAGGGTGTGAACCCTTAAAAGGATAATTTATAAATAACTGCGAGGAATTGATTATAATTGTATCGACCCAGATTTTCTTAATGTGACCACCCTCCTTCCCACTCGCTGATCCAAGCTTTCTGGGAGGAGGGGAAATAAAAAAAAATTTAATTTATATTTATCTTTAGAACACAAGAAATGACACTTTCTGTTGTTTTATTGTTATAATTTTTTTCAGTCATATTTAAATATGTCGACCCCGTTCAGGTAGTATTAATTTACTTAGGAATGCAGGAAACAAATGATGGTAGTTAGTTACTTAAGGAAGGAGTGAGAGGAGCAAGGAATGATCTAAGATGAGGCGATAATTGGATATGACTATTAAAAAATAAATGAGGGCTTTCTCTCTCTCAGTCGTATAAATATATTTAAATAAATTTTCAGACTCTTGAGCATAAAGTATGTAGGGAAGAGAGAGATTTAACAGAAATAGATTTTATGGACATTTTTACAGCATGCTTTTGCTAGAAAAAAGAATGACTGAGAACTTACAAAATAAATCTCAAGAAATTTCTCTTTCCATTCCTGCGTAGCACCACTGGTACCTTTCCCTTCTAAAATACTCAATCCTGAAAAGTGTTTACGAGAATATTGTTATCAAGGCTGCATTCAATGTATGCATTGATAAGAGTGAACGCAATTTTTTTTTAAATGACTGGAATACACTATTTTGAGTCCTTTGCCTGCTTTAATACTTATATTTTTTAAGATAAATGCTTTGTGCACAGATCTATGGAACGAAATTCACAACACACAAAAATAACAATGACACAGCTGAACTTTTTGATTTTTCTATAATCCTACAGATACAGTTGAGCTTTGATTCAGCTCTTAACTGAATGCTCCACAGCAAGGCATGATAAAAATTTAATTTTTTTAAAACATCTGAGCAGCATTTGTTTTCAGCTCATTCTTGTAAGATGAAATAACGGACGCCCTATAAATTGAAAATGACTACATAATCTTTTAACAGCTTTTTAAAGGAGGGTATAGTAACACAAAATGTTGTACAATCATTATAAGAGATTATAAGAGATTATGGTTTTACTTGCCATAAAGAAAAGTTGTACAAAAAAACGGTCCAGCTACCAATTGGTCACAAAGAATTTTTTGAAAGACAGCTTTCCCTGAGACTCCTTTGATAAATTTGTCTAGAGTAGCGTACCATAAATGATTAAATGGTCCAAGGGCACATCCTATAACTATCATGCGGCCTGTGAAGATAAAAATGAGTCAGGAAAGAAGGTGAAACAAAAACTCAGTTTTACAAAATTAATGGCTATAAAAAATGTTGATAAATTTATTTTAAATTTAAATGGTACATGACAAGAAAAGTATTACATTTTTATGGAAAATATAGTGGAGATCAGCTACTGTGATAGCCTAAGGAATGAACACATCAAAAGCAGGTAAACAAGACATGAAAATGACAACAGGTGTTCAAAGAATGCAGTTTGCTGGGCACATCCAAATCCAGCCGCAGAAACATATCCCCAAAAAATCTATAGCTTGGATGCCACCCTAATGGAATTCTATACATTTCACTAACCTGTCCGTTCAAAGTCAAATTTTGTCTTCTTCTTTGAAATCACTATATTCATTCCTTGGACACAGGCATCACCAATCCCAAGTAGAGTTCCACAGGTCACAACATTGGCAACTAAAAGGTTTTTAGAAAATATGGCATCAATCTTGATTATGGCACGCTTTGCAACATTCATTTTTTTGATACCTGGAAAATATAAAGTATTAAACTCATATGATGTTGCAGTCAAACTAATTTGGTGCATAAGAACTCATGTCTACACTACATCCACTCGAAGTTCAAGTAAGTATTGATGAAGAATGTTACAAAATTGATTTTTAAATACTTACTATTGCTCTGGCACAACAGGTGCCAGCAAGAATCACAGAAAATTCAGACCAAAACTGTGGCTGTTTGGTCTATCGTATATAGGAGAAAGAATTGACTTGGTCATCGCTGTGTGCAACTCCAGTCAGAGGCATCTTTGAAAACTAAAGAGGAATGTTTAGTAGAACTATATAAGTAGTATATAAATCATTTAATTTTTAGATGAAAATGTTAAAATAAACCAAAACATTTGAAAAACATGTTTTATTGGATACTGGTAATACATTTTGTAATCCACAGCACTGTGTTCACAAGGAAATAAAGGCCATCATCTATGTTTGGCTATCTTGGGCTTAGGTTGCTATCAGTGCCAAATAGTAACAGTGCGGATAATCTATGGCTCTCCCAGAAATGGCCTGTGGCTGGTAGTGTCCTTTGCCTCTGCCATCATAGTGTTCTGAATCTGATCATTAGTATTTTGATATGAACATAGATTGTCAGTGAACATGGAGGAACATTAATAAAATGCAAGGCACAGTGCTGGGCCCCCTTCTCTTTCTCTGTCACATAAACAACCTCCCTAAAATCTCATGTGATGGCTATTTGCAGACGACTGTCTTGTCTACAAAGAGATAAATGGCTATGATGACCACAACCACCTCCAAGCAGATTTGAAGTGCCTTATGAATTGGGCGGACAAATGGGGCATGAAGCTTAATGAAATCAAATGCTACACAATGAGAATTTCAAGAAAAAACTCATCAACCTATATGTACTCCCTAAAAAACACAATTCTCCAACTAGTATCAAATAATCTATACCTTGGAATTCTCTTCTCAAATAACATAAAATGGTTTCCCTATATAAACAACATCTTTAAAAAAGCCAACTCCACACTAGGTTTCATTCGAAGAAATCTGGGCCACTGCCCAACCTCCTGCAACGAAATGCCTATCTTGCACTCGTCCGCCCACTACTAGAATATGGTACGATCCTCTGGGATCCATACCTAAAGCCAGATGTGGACAAGATGGAGCGAATCCAACGTAGCGCAGTGCGCTTCATCGCACGTGACCACAAATTCGTCACTGGCCTCTTAAAAAGATTTGACATCCCCTCCCTCAAAGAGACGAGAAAAGCTTTGCCAAAAATTCCTATATAAAGTGGTCATGGGGCTAGTTTTAAGCGCCCTCTCCTATATTTTTTCTGTTTTAGGTAGGATATATATATTGACATTATGTAAATTTAATTTATACTTATTTAAATGTGTTGTGTTTGTTTGTACTGATGAAGGCATGTGCCGAAACGTTTAATTCTGTATAATGTACAATTATTATTAAAGCTAACTCATATTGTTCTATTGACACAATTTGTTCGTGTCTTATTAATATGCCATACTAGCAAACATGTATCTCACCCCACAGAAGCCAGGTCGCTTAATTAGAGCCAAACCCTCAATAAACACTAACTTCACCTCTAAAATCCCCAAAAGCAATTACATCCGGAACAATAGTAAATGCTTCACTGTGCCTCCGTGTAACACAGTCCAATATAAACTATCATTTCTCCGACAAACAATCATCGCTTGGAACCACCTGGACAATACCACCACAAAGTCGACGTCAATTGAGAGCTTCAAAACTGCCCTAGCATCCCCTAGGAGCTGTTAAAATACCAGCGTTGCATCCCCAACCGTTGCACATATGCCAGTAAATGGATTTAGCAACGTGCCCTACCAGAACCAGAAAATTGTTGAAGAAATTAAGAACCTGTTAGAGTAAACAGAGCCAGAAATTTAGACAATCTGAATGAATAAAGGAAATTTAGACAATCTGAATGAATAAGGACTTAGGAACTTTAGTGGTTATTTCATAAAAATATTGCGTTATTTCTTTAAAATATTGTGTTTTTTCAGTGAACAATTCAGGGAATAATAATAAAATAATCTGATCAATGATATGTGAGAAATGTGACATGTCAACTCATTACCATTAATATAAAAAATTATAAGTCAATTAGTAAATTATTAGTAGCCTATATATATATATGGTATATTTGGTAAATTTAAGCAACATCAGTGTCTCCCTAATGCCAAATCAGCTTTGCTGACCACAGCAATGGTTTGTGTGCTACAGTTACACACTGCAGTGAGAAAGGTGTAAAATTGAATAAAAAGATAAAATTATTGTTCAAATATTCAAAATAATGAAAACCAAACTTACAGTTGCATCGAATACACTTAAACACACTTTATTGTAAGTTCCAACATACATAAATTGCAAAAAAGATCAATAAAGTCAAAATCTATTTATTTTTAACTATAGGTATTAAATAACCTCACTTTAAAATATTAATTAAAAAATGAATCAATCAAAACATCCTGTAGGTGTAATAATTAAAAAAAGGGTAACTCTAGTAACAATTGACCAAGTGAGCTAAGGAATGATTGTATTGACTAAGGACTGTAATTGAATATTGGGCCTATTACTATTAGGCAGTATTAGGCTATAGCATCCTCATAGGGTAAGGTCATAGGCTAATAAGCCTAGGCCAAATATTAGGAACTGTGACAAAATGAAGATGCAGCTTTATGAACTAAATATTTAGATAGAACTTGAATTTAAAAAATTTTGTTTTTACCAATCTTAATCTTTTTTGTGTAGGTCAATTCTAAAGAAAGTTATGATTTTTTTGGGGTGAATTATTTTGGTATAACTCTTTTTGAGAGAGCTGCCACTCCTTGGTCATACACTTTGTCTTATTTTCAAGCTTTAATAAACAATGGTATCCAGGGAGAAAATAAAGTCATCATACCTATTTATGTGGTCACTGTTTTGAAACCTTAATAAAATTGTTGGGGTATGGTGAATGCTTTAAACAGTGGTTATATGAAAATCGTTACTGAAGAGAAATTAAATAGTAGACTTTTTTTAAAATTCAACTTGATATATTTTTCAAAAAAATTTCTTGTTGAAAACTTGAAAACATATTATCAGTTATGTTCCCATAAGCTGCATGGCTGCACAGCCACCTCACAGTCGCCGCACTGCAGTTTTGAGTACCGCGCATCGAATTTCCATGTAAGTGTGTGTTTGTTTTTATAGGGTGTAAAACTTTACACACAAAAAAATTGATGCTGTAAAACTTGCACACAACTGTATGATTTTGCACACGAACCAGCAAACCTTAAAGGGAACATTGATTATCAGTATTGTTTAGCATCTAATTCTCTTTAAAATGCAATATATCACACAACCTATTATTTAATATTTAACAAAGAAATAACAGCAAACAACATTTTTTTAATAACACGTAGGCTATGTGTTGATAAAAAAATGTTGTTTGCTGACTATCATAGTCATATCATATCATAGTGACATATAATAATAAATATGCAATATTTTTTGTACATTTTCAAGTGGACAAAAAGTTGAACAAGGAAAACTTAACTGCGGGATGATTTGTCACTGGCAGAAAATGATTTATCCAAATCCAAGTAGCTATCAAGTATAAAGACAGGCTTAAAATTTAATCAACTTATGTTTTAACTCTTTTTAAGGCATTTAAATTTAAAGGGCTTTTAAAAAATTCACCCAAAAACTCCACTTCTATGTCTATACTGATGAAATTAGCTAGCCCTTTTAAATTATGTATCTTTTAACATTTATGGCAATAAGAGATTTAGGTAAAAAGTGTATGTCAAAGCACCTAGCCTATCCTAGGCTTAGGCCCAAATAAAAATTTCTTTCTCAATTAATTAAACAATTTCATCACTGATGATCACTCACTGATCTACATTGACATTACTTAGGCTTTCTCTTGACATACCGCAAGGGACCACATTCTAAAGAAATCAATTAAATGACAGCAAAAATACATTTAATTATATATGAATGCACTTACTTTCTTATGGTTATTTTATTTCGGATTACATTTTGTTGTGCTTCTAGTGCAGTTCAATGTTTGGTCATTGCCAAGGGCGCAGCCATCTTTAAATTATAAAAATGCAGTCGACCCGATTAGCTACAAAACAATAGCAATGATCTCAAAATTGAATTTTTAAATAAAAAATATTTTTAAAAGACACATAAATGAAAAAAAAAATTATAAAGTTCAAAGATTTCTTAAGTTTTAAGCGAAAATAATAATAATTAGGTCACACGAAGGTAAGATATTGCAGTCCAAATTGGTGGTTTGTTAAATGAGACTGAATGTAGACTGTAGTGACTAAACTTTCATTCATTCAGTATGATTCAGGGTTTGGGTTAGGATATTGATTATGATTGACATCCGTAGGTAGAATGGGTGATCCGCCCCGGGTGGCACTTTTCCTCTTATACAAAGGGACGGCATACATTGTTTTAACATAGAAGGGGTGACAAAAACATTGGCTCTACCCGGGCGGCACTAACCCTATCTACTCCACAGAAAAAATCATTCCCATTCAAACATGAAACTACCTGCCAGTGACGAGTAGGCTATAATGTTACTATGTAGTCAAAGGTGTACTGCGGGGTTGGAGTGGGCCTCAGTGGGGACATGATTAGATGGTAGGCATATAATTACGTAATATAATAATATAGCACTTGTGAGCATCTCCGATCTCCACCCAAAGCAAGTTTAGAGAGTGGGGAAGCATGGGCGCCCGCCTTGCCCCTCCCCCCTGGATTGATTGGATAAAAAAAAAATTAGATAAAAATAGACAAAAAATGTATTAAAGTAAAGAGAAAATAAAGAGAAAGTAACTAAGCTGATGTCCGGTCCGTTCGTTCACCATACAAATACGCTACAGTAAATTAAAACTACATTAAAACATCACTAAAAATTTTTTGCCCCCCCCCCCCCCCGGAAAGTTAATCGATTTTTTTTTGCCCCATCCCCCTAGAAAGTTTTCTGCGGGCGCCCATGTGGGGGAAGATAGTACATTTAAGGAAAACAACAGAAGTCTTAAACTTTCTCTAAAAACAGGGAAGATTTTGAGCGACTTCCGCAGGGATCAATCAAATTAAAAGTACAATGTCAGCTCATTGGTATTGGGTCAGTGTATAAGCGACCAAAATGTTAAACTTTTCATTTCTCACTCGTGATATTTAACAAAAGGTTGACCTTAAAACAATGTGATGGATAAGGAAAATGGGGGCGTGGGGAAAAAAAAAAGGGGGAGGGATAAATGGCGTAGGCTACTTACTTGTAGTATTAGATACTACAGAAACACCAAGGCCCACCCCATACGCACTCCTAGGTAAGCCTCTGGGTGGAGGCATATACATTTAACTTCCTAGGGGCCTTTGCAGATCTTAATCTGGCAGTGTGTTCACATTAATAATTGATAGTTGATGCAAACCCCCGTCCTTCACAGATATTTTGTATTGCATGAAAACGTGTAAAGAGATTTCATAAAAATGAATCACGAATAAAATGGTATCGATGCGACTCTAAAGGGAGAAATAGTTTTCGATATCTGAAGTCGACATTCGATATAAAAACTACTGCTCCTTTCGAAAGTTGTTTAGTTACCGCTAAGCATAATGCACTATAATTCCGAAAACGTTAATTTGGCTTGAAAAGCAAGCTGCATTTAAGACTATTATATTTTAATATTAAAAAGTGAACATCCATATTTAGTATTGAATAACTTCTAATCTATTGTTATAAAACATAATTTTTAACTGGTAAATCAGGATTTTATTATTATTAATAAAAATAGCTCTGCAGACACTTTTAGCAGCCGGATTTACTTCCGTTGCATTTTCTGCTATCTTGCATTGTTTTCTACAGATTGTGTGGTGTGTTTACGTGTTGAGAATTCTGGGTGTCTACTTTTAAATTCATAGTTTAATAGGTAAGTTTTTTTTCTGTAATGCCTCAAGTAACTTTAGTATATATCTTTACCATTCTCTTTGTGCCCAGTCTACTTATATAATTTAATATAATTTATCCTGACGACACTCCGACTCTATCGAGTGTAGTGTAGCAGGCCGCAGACTCATTACTACTACAGACTACAGTCTTTTCAACTTGGTTTCTGGTTTATTATTTAATTTATCAACTTGTTTTTAAGTGAATATTTTTTTTAATGCAGTTAAAAAGTCCAAGACTAAATTTAAACTAAGTATATTTTGTAAGAGTAAGACCAAGAAGTCAGAGTAAATTTATTTTTAGACCATTTAGTATTTAGTCTTGGCCGTGGTAAGTTACATGACAGACCTGTACTGTTTACTCTTTAAGACTCTTACTTATAATAATTTGGTAAATTTTGAGTTAAAGGTATGGGTTTTGCCAAGAGTTTTCTCACCCTAAGCGCAGTGACGTCACATTGGGGAATCCAAACACTGGACTTACGGTGAATAGATCTATTCTTGGAAGGACCCGAACGATGAGTTATATAACATTCCTGTTCTTTATTGAGCATTACTTGCGTCATAAGCGATACGGTTAATAGTATATTGAAATGAAATTTTACATTAATGTGTATTAAAATTCAACTTACAACTTTCAAAAGAAAGGAAAAAAGAAACACATCCTTGCTAATACCCCAAGACCCAACACCGGTGTAAAAAAAGACGACCGCCAAAATTGCTCTGTTTTGATTAGTTGAAATCAAAATACCCATATGTTGAAACATAGATTACAAAAGGAAGACTACTGCTTAAATTGGAATGATCTTCTAGGAACTTGGCAGGGGAGACCCCCTCCCTCCCCAAACCCCTCCCCTCGCTTTAAACACCAAAATAAGAAGGATAGAAATTCTCTGGGTAGGGGAGGGGTACCCTCCCTAATTTAATAAAAAATATAAAATAAGAAAACAGTAACTTGCATTATGTAAATACAAACATCGAAATCTTTTTAGTATGGCACTATAGACAGAAATCGACCTGGGGGAACCTCCGTGACCAATATACCATGGAACATATCGTCAGCCTTACCGCTAACTCAAAACCAGCTGATAATTTTGGTGTAAAATTTACTATTTTGAGCTGTAGAGTATACATTATATACACTGTATGTTTATTTTTCATTATTAAGATAATGTATTAATCGATTTTGTGATGATATTGTACGATTTTAAGAGTTTAAGGGTAAATGGGTCTGGACTGTGAGTGCCTAATTTAATATAATAAATAAATATAAAATATAAATAAAATAATACTACTGCTACTGCTTCTACTTGTCACAAAATAGTTGCACTGTAAAGGAGCAAGTGGATAAATGTTGGTTTGGCCCGCCACTCATTTCCCATGGCCGACATCTTAGTTGCCATGATGGCACTTGTCATGGCAACCAAAATGATGGCAGTGTAAAAAAATCGTTCAAACATGTCTGCTAAAACAGGGAGGAGGGACAAGAGAGAGAATGAGCTTTTTTAGCTACTTACAGAGAGAGAAACAAAAATAGGAACAAAATGTTTAAATTTAATGCAATAATTTCATCTGGTAAATTAATTTAATGGGAAACAAGGCAAACGTAGCAACTTTCTTGTACCTCTCTAGATATTTGGCAAGATTTGTCAAGGACCTGGGGTCTCTCCCTTCCCTCACCTTAAACATGTGCGCTACAGTTACACATTTAGTAAGATACAAGTAAAAATGAAGAAAAACAATTTTGAAAAATAAATAATGAAAACCCAATTTACAGTTTCATGGAATACACTTTTACACACTTTATTGAAGTTCCACCAAAAAGAAAATCCAAACGTTTGTGAAAAAAATCAATACAAAACTTTACCCATTTTCCAAAATGCCGGAAAATTTAAATATTATTATTAATCACCTTAATAAATTATAATTTAAAACATTCCATCGGCATATTGATATTTAAAAATAAAAGTTAACTCTAGTAACAGTCCAAGAATAAACAAAAGGGAGAGAATCCTACACAGAAATTCAAAGTGGTGCTCCGATCCATCATTAGCTGAGTAAGTGTTACTCATTCTTCACTCTTCAGAGTAATTCAGACATAATCATCATAATGTATTGTTCATACCCAGTCCTCTAACTCTAAACATTAAGTGGTAACTAGTAATACTACATAATATTATGAATCAGTAATTCCTTCAGTCACTGAGTATTCTGTACCCTAAGCACAACAACCACGTTTTCCACTGTCCCCTTATTGACTTTTCTGGCTATTTCCACCTTTTGTTTAATCATATCTGTAGTCTTATAGTTATATGATGGTCATACAAAGAACCTGCCAGCCAAACCCAGAGTTCCAGGGCACACTACAAGTGAAAAAATTGGAGCTAATTGATTTATATGACCCAGTAGGACTTTTATAATAAGAACATAGTATCAACATTCATAATGATAAAAAAAGTATAAAACAGTATTTTCCTTCTAGCTGTATACCCAAGCTTTGCAACGATGTTTGAGAGAATGGAAAGTGTAATGAAACAAAATGAAAAGTAAAGTATTTTAAAACATAAAGGCTTTTGTTTTTAGAATTCTTAAGTGCAGCTAATGAGTCAATATGATTGACTGAGAAGTAAAAAAAAAAAAAATTTTTCTTTTTTGAAAGGCATGTGGTTTAGGTCATACGATCAGATTATTGGGCCAAAACTACCCAACACAACCCTTGGTATTTCAGTTGTATACATTTGACTTGCATATTTTTCTCTCCGGTTTAGCACATCTGGACATGTTACCCATGAATCCTTTTAGGTTTAGGTTAGGGACATCCTTTGCCATTTTTATCTCAATAGATCATTGCTTATTATGTACGTTAAAAATTAATTTTTTAATGAGATGTTGTTTCATGTTTCAAAATTTCATTTTTTAATTAAAGCAAATTTGGGACTGATATCTTCACAAAGTTCAGGGAATAAGGGATGCTTAATGAAATACTATGGTCATAGGCAGCGCCAAAAGTGCAGCGCTTATCATTTTTCTGCGCACAACTGTGCACTTTCATCATTTTCATCATTTGAATTAAGTGAACAACCGCCATATTCCTGCTTTTTATCCATCCTAAGCTAGTCTACCAACCTCAAAATGCCATAAGTCATACCCACAG